GACGGACTCCAGGTTCTGTTTGAGCTTCGCGACCTCCTCCTTTAGGTCGCTTGCCCCCTTCGCGGCCCCCAGCCGAGTCTTCTCCATAGACATCCTTATCGCAAGCAAAGCCTGTGAGCAAGAAGTGAATTAGAATGAAAACGTCGGACAAACTTTAAGAGCAGTTCGTTTACCTTGCTTAGATGCTGGAACGACGTGGTCATCAGGTCGTCACTTGTATCGGCGAACTCATCATATGACTCCGATAGCCCACACTCGAGCAGAGAATAGACTATTGGTTGCAGGTATTCGGGCAGGCTCCTCGACGAGTCCAGCACTGGCGTGCCCTTCGCCTTGTCGACAGCGATCGTCTCGTCCGTGGGTTCCTTGCCCGACCTCCTTCTTGAGTCCTATCGCGACCTCAAGGGTTCTTCCTCAGATTCGGTCTCTGACTCGTTGACCTGAATCTGCTTCCTCTTCTTCGACCTCTGGGCCGGAGCCTTCCGCCTTGGGCGAGCAGGTGGTGGCTGAGCGACCTGTTCTGTCCTGGTCGCTTCTTGACCAGGACGGGGTTGGGAAGGCGCAGCTGCTCGCACCGGTTGTACCGTTAGGGGACGAGCAGCTTCGGTTGCCCTTTCCCTCCTCGATCGAGGGAAGATGAAGGGTGCTTGCTGGGGCTGCTCGGACTCTTTTGGAGGCATGGTCGCTACATGCAAGTACATTAGTAAACTAAGTTATTCTGCGACCAGAATGGAATCAGTGTGACTTACCTTCTAGGGGCTCCAAAGACGTGTTGTTACTGATGAAACCGTACTTCCGCAAGTTCGTGGTTGTCACGAGCTTCCTCGCGTCCCGGCTTTCCTCGGGAAGGACTCCAAAAGACACGAGCCTGTCCGAGTCGTCAAGCAGGTCTTGGCTGGTTGTCTTATTAACTGCAAGAGAAGGCAGGTCGTTATGATAAAACATGCGAATAGACAATGAACCTAGCGAAGAAGAACCTACTTGGTTTCTAAAAGCAGCAGTGGCCATCATAGCAGAAAAAGAAGAACTTTGTCTCGTAGGCCCCCGCGTTGCTGGGATAGCTATGTATCCCTTCGGCGATGGTAGGTCACCGGGACAAGTAATAGGAATCCTGGTCCTTACTCTTTTTGAGATAGTAGGCGATACGGAGCTCCACCGCCGTTGGCTCACCCAAGCCACTCTCGCGGCACGCGATGTACATCGCGACGGCGATGACATACACGTTTGGTGTCAACTACATCGGTGCGATCCCGAAGTGATCCAGGACTGACCTGATGAAAGGATGGAAGGGAATCATCCCTCCACCCTTGAAGATCTCTTCGGAGATCACAGCAAGGCCATCGGAAGGATACTGTGACGACCGGGTGTTGTCGAGGAACACCTCTGCGTAGACGTCGAACTGTCTTTTTATCCTATCAAACTCTTCTCGGGTGAGAACCGAGAAGACATCAAGGGATGCGTCTGCGGGAACGTCCCGCAAGGATGAACTGGCTCCTTCCTCGGGTCTGGATGTTGACGGTTCCATTCCATAGTCTGCAACACCGACAGACAGGTCATTTTAACCATCGCATGTTGTCCCGCATGGCGGCATGGGACAAATCCCTTAAACCCTAACAGTAACTCAAGCCACCATCCACGGCTCGAATCCGACGACAGCGTCGCGTCTCTGGTGAAACACCGGGAGACCCAACGCCATTGCCCACCAACCAAACAAAAAAAAAAAAAAAAAAAAAAAAAAAGAGAAAGGAAGAAAGAAAAAGACCTTACCTTCTGGGGCACGTGACCAAGGACGGATCTTGTTTCAGATATCGGAGAGGTGCCAATCGGAAAAGAAGAACTTCCGGTTTGCAAAGATTTGTCGCTTGAGGCAGAAGGGATTTTGGTGGCATCATCTAAAAAATTTGGGCTTCTATATAGGCTGCGAACCGACAGTTACAACCCCTCGGAATCAAAACGACAGCCTTCTCTCTCTGCATTAAATGCGCCCCATGTCGCATTCAATGCTGTGATGAGGGTCATCATTTCAAATGTGTCATGCAATTAATGCTGTCAAAACAACGCCAGGTCAGCACACAACGCATTTAATGCACCTGCCAGACGCTTTAACACGTGCAGAGCGCCTAACAGCGCTGAAACAGGCTCATTGAATCTCCAACCCTAAGGCACGATAAAGAACGTCTGATGAATCCAGGTCGCTAGGATGATGATTGCCAAGTCGTTTAGGCAAAGATTGTGTGGGGTCGTGTTCGCAAAAGGCCCCATCCCGAGCTTCTTCTATTCAGGTCGGAATTGCCAGAACCTCCAATAGCGGCATGACTTAGTTTCCAAGGTTCGATCCTCAAACCTTAAAAACTAGGGGACTTCTGTTATGCCTGGGAAATCAAGGGCTGACGTGGGGAGTCACGTGATGAAGTGTGACCTGCCCCCGTCAGAACGGTAAGCGCACGTCAGGTCTGCCAAACACTATAGAGCTCCCACGTGTCCATTTCCCTGTAATAAATCGCGTGAAATCAGCTTGGGAAGTGGGCAATGGGACGTAAAGCCGGATTATGTCCTGACACTCACACCAACCCATGGATTTAATGATGATTACACACCCTCATCTGGTTATAAAAAGGAGAAGACCCTTTCATTAAGAGGATTCGGCCATTTTTACACTTGAGCTCTCTCTCTTGCAAACTTGGTATTTACTTTTCCTAATCATTTGTAAGTCAGTCCGCTGTTGCGACCTGACCCACATTACTAATACAAATTAGTGGACGTAGGACTTGCTACCTTAGCATCCGAACCACTTTAAAGAGCTCTCATTGCATTCACTTCACATTTTCTATCCATAATCACGTGTGTCTCTTGACCAATCAACGTTACACACGTGTCGATTAGTTGGTGTTAGAATCACGCATCAACAAGTTTAATCTTTCCTTTTTCAAGTTTCTCTTCATTAATTTTTGTTATCTTTTCATGGGTTTAATTCTTTTTTTCATTTTCAAGTTGATTTCTTTCTGTTTTTGTTGTTTATTTAGTCTTAAATTATCTTTTTTCATCAGTTTTTCTAATTTGCGTGCCTCTTTCTTGTTCTTGATATTTTAATTTAACAAGTCAAAACATCAAAATTAAATTAAAAAAAATTAAAAATTCAAGACCGCTTCTCTTCTTTAATTTCATAAATTATTGTTTAAATTCATAATTATTGTATGTTACATCTTTGAGTTTTCTAATTCTATAAAAGTTTTAATCGGAAAAACAGGAAATTTGAAGAATTCCCGGGACTTGAACTGAGCTTTGAAGCCGCCCCACTAATCGCCCTTTTTCTTTGATTTTCTTTGACTACTTTAGCTCTCTAAGTAAACTGTTTGTTTGTAAAAGATCGACTTTATTAATTAGCATGGCAAACCGAAGTTTCTTTTGATCTTTTCTTTATCTCTTAGCAATCCAACAAGTTATTCATGGCTGAAATTAGTTATATTTATGTTTTACTATATATAAATTTTGTAAGTGCAGATTCGCACAAGAAGGAAGGAGGTACGTTCATGTACTTCTTCACTCCAAGGGATCAGAAGTACCCACATGGAAACGGGCCAAAACGACAGGCCGTCGATGGATTTTGGTAGGCTGGTGGGGTTATTTATCTGGTTACAATAAACAATATCAAAGTAGCAAGCAAGAGGTCACTGGTCTATTATAATGGCAGCAATAAAAATTCAACAAAGACTAACTGGATCATCTATGAATATGTAATGGATCAACATAGCACTCCGGTTGCAAGTAAACCTACTTACAGCAAAACAAGTCAGGCAGCCACTTCGAGGTCAAATGCCACTCCTGATGACAGCAACATGAAGGTAAATTATCGTTCTTTAATTTGGTCTAATTATTGAGATTTGTTCAAGTCAAGTATCCCAACCCGTATGTAATTATATAAATATTGCTTATTTTTTATTTTTTGGGCAGTTGGACGATTGGGTTTTGTGCAAGGTCTACTTGAAGAATCACAAATCAAAGAACAAGAATCAAGCAGCTAGTAGCAGTGGTGCTAGCTCTATTAGCTCGGAGGCTCAAATGCAAGGAAATAATGGGGGAAATTTGCAGCATAATCTTGATTCCACAATCTCAATGGCCTCAATGTTAGCTAGACTGAAAACAGGGCAGGGCAGTTTCGTAAAACTGTAACTCCACAAAAGAGAGAACAACGTCGTTTTGAGAAGAAAAACTTTACTCTTTAGTTTGTCATTGAGCTAGGTTTACTCTCAACGTTAGTCTTCTCTCTTTCTCTGTATATAAACAAATGTGTCTCTCTCTGAAATTAATAAGAAAAAGGTTCACGCATTTCTTCAATTTCTCTCTTTAGTTTTTTTTTTTTAGTTTCACATGGTATCAGAGCCTGAGACAAGCGTCGACGGCAACGATCTGAGCAATTGTTTTTGTTCTTCCTTCTCAGCTTCAATGGAGAAAACACAAAATGTTTCAGCTAGTCCTCAGCTCTCAATTTTTTCATCAAGCCTTCACACAGACTTGTATTTGGGAGAGGCAGAGGAAGAAACAATGGCAAAGGCAAGCCTATTTGTCAAGTTTGTAGCAAAATTGGCCATACAGCGGCTCACTGTTATCACCGCTACAACTCCACTTACACTGGTGTGCCTCCTCAAAGTAACATGTTAGGACAAGGTGGTTCTAGTCCAGCTTTTCACAATGGATTTTATAGACCTCAGTTTGGAAATCAGCAGCATTATCATACTGGCAGTCCATATAGTCCTCATTCTGGAAGTCAGCATGTTATTGGTCCCACTAATGGATCATATGATTCACCATGTCAATCAACTATAAATTCCAACTTACACAGTCAACAACAGCACACTAATCTGCAAGGCAAACCATTTTTTACTCATCAACAGCAAGGGTTTCATGTCCCTAGTTAGCAAAGTTCCTACCAAAATGCTCCTAACCAAGCTTTACTTGTGTCTAACCAAGCACCTTCCTCAAACCATTATCCTCAAACACACATGACTGTCCCAGTTCCTGCTCCTGTTGATCCAGCCTGGTACATGGATTCAGGAGATACTGACCATGTCACTCCTGATCCTACTCAACTAATTTCCAATAGACCCTATGATGGAGTTGAGCAACTACAAGTTGGTAACGGTGAGTCTCTACATATATCTCATATAGGTTCCACTTTATTTCCCAATTCATTTCATTCTAAGTGTTTACATTTGCGCAATGTGTTGTGTGTTCCTAAAATAACTAAAAATCTCCTTAGTATTTCTAGATTCACTAAAGACAATCAAGTAATTGTGGAATTTGGCTCTGATTGTTGTGTTGTTAAGGACAAGGCTACCAAGGCAGTGTTACTACAGGGAGGACTTAAGGCTGGTCTATACCAATTGCGCATACCTTCTTGCTTTTCCTCTGGTTACACTTCTGGTGGTCTAGAAAAGTCAGCTACTTTGAGTTCTAGGTTTTGTAATACTTTGTCTTCAAATAAGTCAATAGGTATTGATAGTCAGTATAGTCATAGGTTGCCCCAGTCTATTAGTTCTCTGAATAACTTTCAAGATGCTACTACCAAGTGTAATATACTGATTAGCAGTCCCATGAATGTTGTAGTTAATAACAATCATAGGATACAAGATCCATAATTACTTTGTAGCACTCAAAGTCCTATCTCATATGCAACTGATTGTACTCCTGATTTCATTAATAAAACTCAATGTTTGGAACGCTCTGGTTTACATCCTGTTAATTTACATCCTGTTAATTCTAAGTCTGGTATGTTTGTTTTTACTGCTGCTATTTCTGATATTCCTGCTAATAATAATAACATCTCTGACTTGGTTGATAGTTATGGCAGAATTTTTGATAATACTTCTGATTTTAATAATGATTCTAGTCTGAACAAAACTGATTCTGATTCTGTTTTGCATTTTAATTCTGTGGTTGATGCTGATGCAAATTCTACATCTATGTTGAAAGATAATGAAAATTCCATGCTTGATGTTAATGCAAATCCTGCTTCTATGTTGAATGATAATGAAAATTCTGATTCTGTTTTGCATATTACTTCTATGGTTGATGCTGATGCAAATTCTACATCTATGTTGAAAGATAATGAAAATTTTATGCTTGATGTTAATGCAAATCCTGTTTCTATGTTGAAAGATAATGAAAATTCTGCTACGACTAAAGCTCTTCTTGTTCATAATGCCACAAATGCTACCATTAGGAAATCTGACACATACCACCATCATCCTATAACAAATCATTCTATAGTTTTTCAGGCTAGTAATACTAGGAACAATGCACTGTCCCTTTGGCATAATCGTTTAGGCCACCCACATGCTGACGTATTAAGCAAAATCTTACTAACATTCATCCAAGACCTTCAGAACCAATCTCCTCATTAGGTTTTTGTGATGCATGTAAATTAGGAAAACTACATAGAAATCACTTTCCTAGTTCAACCTCTAGAGCTTCACAGCCACTTGAAATAGTTCATAGTGACATTTGGGGACCAGCACCAGTAGTTTCATTAGAAGGCTTCAAATATTACATTCATTTCATTGATGATTACAGTAGGTTCACCTGGATGTTCCCCTTAAGAACCAAGGCTGAAGTTCAGTCCACTTTCATCAAATTTCACCATTTAGTTGAGAGACAACTTGGTTATAAACTCAAAATCTTACAGTCTGACCAAGGAGGAGAGTATATGGGTTTAATTCCTTATCTTACCACTATTGGGATCCAGCTTAGGCATTCTTGTGCCTATGTACACCAACAAAATGGGAGAAGTGAAAGGAAGCATAGACATATAGCCGAAACAGGTCTAACCTTACTAGCCCATGCATCTATGCCTTTACATTTTTGGTGGTGTGCATTTGATACTGCTGTATTTCTTATTAATAGAATGCCTAGCTCAATTTTGGATTTTGTGTCACCATATCAGGTTCTTTAGAGTAGGTTTCCTGTTTATTCTGAGTTAAAAAATTTTGGTTGTGCCTGTTTTCCATTCTTGAGAGATTTTCATAAACACAAGTTGAATTTTCATTCTTCTAAATGTGTTTTCCTGGGTTATAGTTTAAGTCATAAGGGGTACAAATGTTTAGAGGGAAAAATTGTCATTACTCCTAATGTTCAATTCAATGAACAAGAGTTTCCTTTTGCTATTGGTTTTAATCAACAATTGTCCGGTTCCTGTTCTCCTTTACTCAAAGCAGCAGTCCCTCATAGTTCTTCTACTTGTTTCCCTTTTGTTTCTATTCCCTTTTCTAATGGTACAACCAGCAAAGTCTCCTCTGCAGTGGACTGTTCGGTTCCTAATCCTTCTCTCACTACTAACAAGTCAACTCCTATTTCCTCATTTCAGGACATTAATAAATCTATACACAGTCCATCTATTCCTAAACCATCCTCTAGAATCAGTACCTCAACTTCAAAATCTCCATCTAACAACCCTGATACTTATACTTCCTCATTACCTACTCCCATTCCATCTTCTACTCCATATACATTTCCATTAGAAATAGATCTATCTTGCTATCATCTTCCCAATTCCACAATTCAAAAACCTTCTATATCTTCAGATTTTACACAATCAGCTCAGAAACACACTGATCACTCTCTTGTTGTTGACTTAACTCCATCATAGTGTCTTCAATATGAAATTCCTACCTATGCACCTGAATCTTTTTCATCAGCCCCTATAATTAGTCTATTAACCAGTTTCTGACCACTAATACACATCCTATGCTCACTAGATCCAAAACCAGTAATTTACCCTCAACTAGCCTTACCCTGACCAGGTCTTTACCCATTCCAGTCAGACCTTGTTTCAGTAAATGAAATACCTGCTCTTGTTGCTTTTGACAACCATAATCACCCCACAAACCAGTCCCTTATAACCAACACTCACACCAGATTGAAAATCAGAAACTCAGCATCACCTGCACTAGAATATGTCTCAGTAACTACAGCCTCTGAATTTGCACCTACAAACTAGTCTCTAAACCCTAATACATCCACCACAGTCACCAAGTCTCAAACTAGCAACTCAATCTCAACTGCCCTTACCCTGGTCAAGTCTTCACCTGTTAAACCTAAACCTGGTACAGTGACTAAAGCTCTTGCTTGTGATGAGTGGAAAAAGGCCATGTAAGATGAGTTTGATGCTCTTATTAGGAATGAAACTTGGAGTCTAGTTCCTTGAACTTCTGATATGAACATAGTTGGTAATAAGTGGGTATTTCGAGTTAAGTATCATGCTGATGGATCTCTCCAGAAGTATAAGGCTAGATTAGTTGCTAAAGGATTTCAACAAACTCCTGGCTTAGATTATTTTGAAACTTTCAACCCCGTTGTCAAACCAGCAACAATTCGAATCATTTTCACATTGGCTATCACTTATGGTTGGGATATATAGCAAGTGGATGTGAACAATGCCTTCCTTAATGGTCATTTGAATGAAACAGTCTATATGAGACAACCAGAAGGGTTTGAGGTTCCTCACTTGTCTTCTCATGTTTGTAAGCTTAACAAGGCTCTCTATGGTCTTAAACAAGCCCCACGAGCCTGGTTTGACAAACTGAAACAAGCGTTGGTTCACAAGGGATTTCAGAATTCAGTATCTGATTCCAGCTTGTTCATTCTCAAGGACAACTCTGAAGTTTTATATGTTCTCATATATGTGGATGACATATTAATAACTGGTTCCAGTTTGTCTAAAATTTATCAGCTTGTTCATGATTTAAGCAGCCAATTTTCCTTGAAAACTCTTGGGGTTGTCACATATTTTTTGGGCTTAGAAGCAACTAGGTCAGCTATGGGTCTGCATTTAAAACAAACTAAATATGTCCATGATTTGCTTGTCAAAACCAAGATGCAAGAGGCACATGCCTACCCTACTCGTATGGCAGCAGGAACCAAATTATTTGCAGCCGACAGTGAGTTGTTTAAAGGTACTCAATTCCATTGTTTGCTGTTTAGACCAACGACCTCTCTTAATGTTGAATGTTATACCGATGCAGCTTGGGGAGGTAATTTAGATGATAGACAGTCTACTAGTGGATATTGTGTGTATCTAGGTCCTAATCTGGTTCAATGGAGTTCTTGTAAGCAAAAAGTAGTGGCATTATCATCTACAGAGGCTGAATACAAAGCACTAGCCCAAACAGCAACTGAATTGGCCTGGTTGGACAGTTTATTCACTGAAATAGAGGTGTCTTTAAACACTTGTCCTGTCATTTGGTGTGACAATGTTGGCATCAAACCCAGTTTTTCACGCAAGAACAAAACATATTGAGATTGATACTCACTACATACGTGATCAAGTTCTTGCGAAAAAGGTTATTGTGCAATATGTTCCCACCAAGCTTCAAATTGCTGATATTCTGACAAAAGCACTTTCCATTAATCAGTTCTAGGATTTGAAACACAAACTTTGTGTTGTTGAGATCCCACATTCAGAGGTTAAAGTTGATAGTAGTCCAGGATCATCTTAATTCTCTAAAGCAGTGTAAAATTCTGCTAACACTGTATGCAGAAGAATCAGAGAATCTGCTGTATGTTAAACTCCTAGTGTGTTTTTTTTTTTTTTTTTTTTTTTTTGCTGATGATGTTTGTGGTATGATGAAATGAATGCTGGTAGTAAGCATTAACATTGCAATGTTAATTTGTGCAACTCTGCTAACTATATGCAGAAGCATGCAGATTTGTGTTTTTGGCAGATTACAATTCTGTTAACTATATGCAGAAGCATCTTGAGTCACTGATGTGTTGCTGTTTTGAGAAGGTGTTTGTGGCATGTTGATAAAAATGCTGCCAAAATGCTGCTTGTTTTGTTTTCTTTGTTTTGGATCAAAATGCTGCAGCTTGGATTAAAATGCTACTACTTGTTTTTGCTATTTTGGAGTGTTGTTTGCAGTATTGACTTGATGTTTGTGGTATGAGAATATGAATTCGGGAGATAAGTGTTGAATTGAAGGGAGATAAGTGTTGAATTGAAGTGATGGTTGCATGATAATAGTGTGTATGTTGGTGTTCTGTGATGATAACTGTGGAGTGTTGTTTGTAGTATTGACTTGATGTTTGTGGTATGAGAATATGAATTCTGGAGATAAGTGTTGAATTGAAGTGATGGTTGCACTATAATAGTGTGTATGTTGGTGCTCTATGATGATAACTGTGGAGTAATGAGTGCAGAGTGTAAGTATGAAGAAGATGAAGTGTTGAATGTGAAGAAGATGAAGTGTTGAATGTGATAATACTTGGTAAATGCTGGATGTTAGTAGGAATCCAGTAATGTGGTGATAGATTTTATTTGAAAAGTGCAGAAGCAGTTCAGTAGTCATGTTGGTGAAATTGAATGCTGGCAGAAGTAGTTCAGTAGTCATGTTGGTGAAATTGAATGCTAGATGCTTGTAAAAGCAGATGCAGTGAAGTAGTTCAGTGGTGTGCAAAAGCAGATGCAATGTTTTTTTTATTTTAAAAGTGCAGGAAGTGCAGACAAGCAAATGCAATTTTTTGATAAAGTGCAGAAAGTGCATAAAATGTTTGAAAACAACAAATTGAAGTCTAGAAGACAATTCAGTAGAAAATGGTGAAGAATTCAGTAACCGTAGTCCAGTCTGAGGGGGAATGTTAGCCAGACTGAAAACAGGGCAGGGCAGTTTCGTAAAACTGCAACTCCACAAAAGAGAGAACGGCGTCGTTTTGAGAAGAAAAACTTTACTCTTTAGTTTGTCATTGAGCTGGGTTTACTCTCAGCGTTAGTCTTCTTTCTGTCTCTGTATATAAACAAATGTGTCTCTGTCTGAAATTAATAAGAAAAAGGTTCACGCATTTCTTCAATTTCTCTCTTTAGTTTTTTTTTTTTTAGTTTCACACTCAATGATGCAAAGAACTCATCAAAATGCTGGTAATAATCGCAACGTTGCGCCTCTGATGCAAAACGCGTTCAATACATCAAATTATGTTGGTTCCAGAAGCTCGGTGCCTGCAATGCAAGGAACAAATAGAGGTGATGCCACAGATAGTGGCGGCTCTACCATGTTGCCGGTTCTGGTAGCTTTGCGCCTCTAGTACAAAAAACAGATGATCAATGCGTTGTGGCCACCTCTGAGCCTGTTCTTGATAATTATGCATCAGTCTTTCCTCATCTTGATGAGTGGCAACATCCTGATCTTCCTCATTTTGAAGAAAAGAAACCAGCATAGTAAACTTAGTATGGAATTACAGTAGTCATAGTCGTCTTCTTTTATTGATTGTTACTTAATTAGTTCCATATATTTATCACTTTCGGATTGCAAAGTTACTGTTTTCATTATTTTTATTGTTGGTTTTGTGGGGAAATATTAAATTGATAATCTGGGCACTGTGCTCACCAAACCAAAAAAAAAAAAAGGAAAGAAACTCTATTTTTTTTATATATATATATAAACTGTTAAAACCCTATATAATATAAAAAATTAACCTTGCTTAATTATGCTCAATTAGGTTTTTTATTTAAAGCATTTTTTCTCAATTTCTTAATTGAAGATTTAGAAGATTTAGATTAAAGGAAAACTCTTAAAACCCTAGTTAATACAAAAAATAACCTTGCTTAATTATGTTCAATTGGGGTTTTTATTTACACCATTTTTTTCTCAATTTCTTAATTAAAGATTTAGAAGATTTAGATTAAAGGAAAAACTCTTAAAACCCTATTTAATACAAAGAATAACCTTGCTTAGTTATGTTCAATTAGGGTTTTTATTACCCAATTTTTTCTCAATTTCTTAATTAAAGATTTAGAAGATTTAGATTAAATGTTAAAAATTAAAACAAAAATATAAAAATAAAGTACAAATATATTTGAAAATTATTATGTTATTTACAAAAATTTTCATTAAGGTTAAAATTATTTAAAAGAAAAATTAAAAATAAAAGATATTTATCAATATGATGGGAGCCAAAACTCACTTCGCCTTTTGAATTGAAGACGAGTTAACTATCTCTGGGTGGCCAAGTGGTTTAATAGAGACTTTTTGATGTATTACTCAAGAGGTCATAAGCTCAAGTCCTTCATCGATTGCTAATAGAGGTAGTCACGGGAGCTTTTATCCAGTCGGTAGTTCTAAGGGTTCTAGGGTCTTGAGGGATTAATTAAAGTGTGCGTAAGCTGACTCGGAGGCTTCGGATACACTGTTCATAAAAAGTAAAAAAATAAAAAATAAAACAAAAATTGAAGACGAGTTTGAATGATAAAATATGTGAGAATAAAGAATCATATCCTATTTATTTCTTATTTGTCTACCAATGGACCCATCCAAGCCCAATGTCGTTGTTGGGAATTTCATGTTAAGGATGATGTATCTTTTTCTAAATTATTTTATTTTTATATTATTTAAATATAGAATGGTATAAGGATGAAGTATTGTTAATTCTATTGATAAAGATTGGTTTACAACCCAATCTTACAAATTATCTCTTATAACCCCGATGTGATAGCTTGCAATTGGTCAACTTGTATTTGGACGTGCAGGACCTATAGTGAGCAGACGAGACCCACTTGTGAGCTGACCGATTACAAGTTGTTACGTCCGTGTGTGAGAGAAAGTTTGTGAGATTTGGTTGTAAGTGTAGTATTACCCTTTAATTCTAATTTAACCATAA